TATATATATATATATATATACATATAATGGTACGTGTGCCGTGAATAAAGTCGGAGAGCTGAATATTGTTTCAAGGGGAAAGCGAAGAGGTACGGTATCTCGTTAGCGTGCTGTATTATTTATTCGAATTATGCGGAATCCCTCCTCATCCTTTCCGCGAAGGATGGAAAACGGGCGGCGGTTGGTCTGGCGGAGATGAGAACCGATAAAAATTACATTCGCTGGAAAGCTATTCGTAAATGGAATAAATTTGCCGATTCCGAGGGTACAAAATAGCCGGGGATATTCCTGAGCCTTTTTCCCCGGGAAACGCCGACTCGAAAACGCGAAGCTTCTTAGAACGTTTGTACGATTCCGAATGCAAATACTCGAGGCACGATGGGTGGCTCGCTGGCTGACTGGTTGCCGAGTGTTGGCTCGACGAAACGAGAGAAAGAGTGCGCTCTATCGTTACGCACACACACTTTTCTATTTAAATAATGCATTCGACAGGGCGTCGAACACCCTGGAAATAAATAAATAAATAAATCTTTAAGAAATATGATATATCGTGAGTTTCACCGGTTCGGGTAATAATCAGGCGGCGCGAGTGAAATTTGACAGTCGCGTTGGAATCAGTTCCCAATTAAATCGAACGGCTGATTTACGGGGAATTCAAAACTAATTGGCCGGGAGCCGGCGGTTGTCATCGAAACATCTAACGTTCGCCCGAAGTAACAGCCATCCCAAGTATCCGGAATATTCCCAATTTCCCGCCTAACCATATTCAATATCCGGATGTTGAAACTTGGGGAGGGGGATATCCGCAGTGCGCATTGCCGAAACCGATCGTATCGTTCCAACTATTCGAATAATAGTGTAACTCGTCCTTCGCGATCTTCGCTTCTCCAAAACCTCCAAAACTTCTCTAATAATTGATAATCGACGTTTCACGAAAGTTGCGAATTTCACCTACCTTCCCTCCCACGATAAAGTAAATTTCTACTTACGCTTGTTAAGGGGGTACGGTGTAACGATTTCAACGCCGCTCGTCAATCCCCCTTCCTACCTCATTATCCCCCTTTTCCAGGCCGAATTCCGAGAATTATGCAACGTCACGGGTGGGGAGGAAAAGAGGGATTTGATTAATGAACCCGTGATCGCGGGTTTAAAGATCGATCATTGGTTGTTCGTGGTAGATTTGAACATAATTGCCAATTATCGCGTATACACGCGAATAGGGGACAAAGAAGTTTTCGAGGAGGAGAGTTTTCCCCCTTTTAAAGTTATTTTCTCGCGGGGATATTTCTTTAAAGTTTAGCAATTAAGGAAAACTCGCTTGGCTCGGGATGATCGAGAAAATTTTAATCTCGCGACAGGATAGAGTTTCAGGCCTCTAATTATTCCGAGTCTCGCGAAAATATCGAAATATATATGTATATATATATATATATATAGGGAAGAGAGCTTTGTTCCAAACTCTAAATTTTGTCGGTACTACATTTTTTAAGTTTTTACGACGAGTATTAATTCATCGTGGAGAGGAAAAAAAAAAGTTCCCTTCCCAATTTTCTATTCGTTAAATCTAAAAATTTCGATTAATCCGAACAATGAAACGGAAATGGTGGTGGATCCGCGCGTTACAATGACCACAAAATGCAAATATTTCGAACGAAAATTCACATGGAGAAATGCGGCGATAATATACGTGCAAATACACGGAACCGGTGTAACAATAGAGGGATTGCGTGAGAGGGGGGGTTGAAAAAGGGCGCCTCGCATAACGCGTTTGACAGAATGATTTGTAACGGCGTTTCATAAAAGTGTGTACCTTTTCACCACTTCGAGAGATAATGATCGAATAAGAACGATAAATACATCCTGCTGTGTTTAAAAAAAGAAAGAAAGAAAGAAAGAAAACTCTCGAACGAATTATCTATCTCTATTTAGACGCGCCGTCAAACGACATCCGTCTCCCCTCGTAAAATATTCAAACGGATAAGCGAGATGATAATTGTTCTTCCACCTTTTTATTGGGGGAGTTCACCGTGAGAAAATTTTTATTTCGAACGAGCGTTGTATATCATTTCAAACGATAGGGAACGCGCAAATTCACGCAACGACGCGATAATTTCATGTATTTATGGCTCGACCACTGAAAAATTGCCAGCCTCGCGATAGGCGGGCGAGGATGGCCGCACGGAACGCAATAATAATCGCGATCGCGAGTGGAGAAAAATAAGTTCGAGGAACACGGGCGTTCGTTTAACTCGAGATTGTCGGCGCGATGATGGTTGGCGTGATGGTTGGAATTCGAAACGGTGTCATCTCGAAATTCACCGTTCGTCGGCCGCGATGTAATTGAGTCGTGAGCTCGGCTGAAAGACGAACGAGTTATCCTCCTGTCCGTCAACGAAGGAGGCTAACCCCCCCGTCAAAATATCGCGTGCCGGCCAATTTAAATCGTGCTGTGGAAACCTGTTATAAAGTAACGATTGCTACGTCGTTTTTTCTTTATTTTTCTTTTCCTTTTTTTCCCTACGATCGTCACGTTTCAATGTTATGTATATTCGTTCCGAGTAATTTCCCGAGACGCGAAAGGCGAGAAGTCTGCTTTAGGTATTTTATAAAGAAGCATCGCATGACAATTTAATATCGATATTAAAATCAAATGTGAAAAGCGCGAAAACGATTTTTGTTCGAAAGAGAGGAAAAAGAGTGAGAAACAACTTACCCTCGATAGTGGGCCGCTGCGGTTTGTAGGACATATCTGAAAGGAGAAAAACGATTAATCGGTTATTGGTTAATCACGTGATCGTGCAAGATTAATCGTGATGATTTTTGTGATAAGCATATTCGCGATGTTAAAGCATTGGAGAATTCGATTAAATTACGTTGTTCGGGGTGGAGGGAAAAAAAACTTGAAACTCCGATATCAGAAGCTGTCAAAGAAGATCGTATACGCGAACACGGCTCTCCCTTAATTGCGTGCGTAACGAATGCACGTGTTGACAAAATCAAAGTGCCTTCCCCCGAGGATCCCGTGTAGCCCGCTGGCAAACTTTCGCCGACTTTGTCGCGGCCTCAGACAACCGTAATTAACGTTTCAGAGCTGGGATCAGCTCGATCCCAAGGTTCTCCCTCCCCGAACAACGAAATTCATGGAAGGAAGGAAGGAAGGAAGGAAGACTCGCGCGGGATCGAGGGCAAAGCAGATAGACGGGGCAATTTCGAGGAGCAAATAACAGGGAAATTCAGGGGTGGCCGAGTCGCGCAACATCCCCTCCCTTCGCTTCGAGCTTCGTTCCCCGAGTTTCACAGTCAAACTTTTAATTATCCTTTCCCGCTCCTTTCCTTTAATGAAGATACTACCAGCGGAGATGCGAGACCACGCACGTCGTTTCAACTGATTACAAATTGCTTACACCGTTGAATTTACATCAAGGAATAAAGATATTTCTGCTTTCGAAGGAATTGCGTTTGAAAATTATAACATCAGTGTGATAAGCGACGATTTAATTTTCCATCCTCTAAAAAACCAAAAAAGAAAAATATCCTCTCAAGAAATGGAAAGATACGTAAAGATATTTACGTGTAATTCAAGTATATATATTTTTTTTTAAGAGATCGGAACGCGAATTTCAACTGACAAGTCGCTCGATCGCTCGATTTAATTCTCGCAATTAAATGTACGTCATGAAGGGAGGATTTTTGTCAAACAGCGCGCGCGCACGTTTTCCCTTCTCGCGCTCAAACTGCTCCATGTATGCAGAGTACCTTGTGCATATATTAACGCGGAAATATCGCCCGTTCGTCGTCCGTCCAGTGATTCATCACGCGTATACATTTACGGTAATCTAGACTACGGTGCTTCGACAACACCGTATGAGAAGGGGAGGGGGGGAAAAAAAACAAAAACAAAAAAATGGTTTTCGAGAGTGGAACAAATGTATTTTAAATCTGTGGGTTTCGTGGACGAGCAACGTGCTTGTATATGTGTACGTGAAACAACGAAAGGTGAAAATGCTTGGAGGGGGTTAATGCAAAAATCAATGAAACGGAAATATCGTTTTTAATTCATTTCTCTATTTCTCTCTTTTGTTTCCCCTATTCCCCCTTTATGCGCGAATTTCGGTCGGTTTGCGAACGAGCGCCGCGTTTCGGGAATTACTTGTTGCAACGGGGACGTAATTACGTCGCGTCGGCGGATTCATAAAGATTGCGAGCACAATTTCGCCTCGTTGCGCGTGTTGACCGTCGAATTTTTATCCGAGAACCGGAAAACGAGCTTTCGTTACCTTGCGCGAAAATTGTTCCTTAATTATAACCGGTTCGAAACGATTTTCTGATGACTTGGTTTTTCTATCCAAGTGGATGAATATTTGAATATATTCAGGCCGCGAATATTTCGTTCGTTCGAAATTTTTAATAAATTTTCTTTCTTTCTTTTTTTTTTTTTTTACTTTCGCGACACGACAACGAGCAATTACTAGTATTTTCCAGATTTCGATCAATGAGAACAATAACGCTATGTGCTTCTGCTTCGCACCATCGTGACCATAAAAATGGAAAAATTCTTTGTCGGATAGCTTTTTTTAATAAAAATATTTTCGCGAAAATACTGAGAATAAATTGTTAGCTCCGAGGGGAGGACTTTCCCTTCGAGAATGTCTCTTTGAATGTGAACGAACAATAAAAAAATAAATCGACAATCATTCGACAGCAAAAATCCATCGTTAAATCGACTCGTTCGCGAATCCAAAAATTCGATAAATTCCCTTTTCCTTTTCCTTTTTCTTTTCTTTTCTTACGAAAAGCAATCGTTCCATCCACAATTACGCCACTATTTCTCATTTCGATCAACGGTATTTTAATAGAAGCGAAAAGTCAAAGGAATACCGCGTAACAGCTAAGTTCCTTCCACAAAAGCCATTCACCGTCGCTTATGAAAAATTACCCGGGGATGCAAAGAAGCCTTCCGCCATGCAAGTAGACCGAGCAACACACGTACACACATATACGCCCCCTCCCTCCCCCTCCAGCTTTCTAGGGATTTCGCTCACTTCGTGCCACGCGGCGCTACCAAACCGGCGATATGTATGCAGCACGCCTCTATGAGAACTCGTACAGCCCCGATATCGCCCCGATATTCCCCTTTCTCCTCGACTACCTACGACTGCGGGTTGACACACATGGGAAACACGTGTTGCCACTCCCACAAACCGAGCACATAGCGCACGACCATACCCGATACGATGTGCGTGCACCCGATTACTTTCGATTTTTTATCATCCCTCCTCAAAGAGAAAGATATTGATTCTTCGATCAGATGTTGGTGGAATTATCGTTGCAACGAGGAATATAATAAGAAAGACTGTTTTTTTACGGACGTGTTCGTCCAAACATCGATCTTTGCCATCTAGAATCTCGTGAGACGTTGGATTTCTAATCATGCCAGTCCAAGAGAAAAACACTAGATATTGATTCTTCGAGCAATGAGATATTGGTGGAATTATCGTTGTAACGAGGAATATAATAAGAAAGACTGTCCCTTTTTTTTGGACGTATTCGCCTTGTCGAACATCGATCTTTGCTAATTAGAATCTCATGAGACGTTGGATTTATTTAATCATACCAGTCTAAGAGAAAAACACTAGATATTGATTCTTCGATCGTGGGATGTTGGTGGAATTATCGTTGCAAGGACAAGGTAAAATATAAGAAAGAGAATCAAGATTATTTTTTTGGACGCATCTTATCGAATATCGATCTAGAATTTCGTGAGATGTGCGTTGCACAGAATTACGTTGGATTCTTTTTATTATTTCTCCGAGAGAAAATACGAATTCATCGTTGCAATGATGAGGCAAGAAAGACCACCAAAATTATTCGCTTCGAAATCGTGGCGCTTAAATCGAATGGATTTACAGCAACCGGGCCGTCTAACGTGTAACGAAGCCCCGAATTTTCGAAAGAGGAAATTTCACGCGTCGTCGTGCTCGATATTTCATCCGAATTTTCTTTTCTTTCTTTTTTCGACGCTTGAGAAAAAGCGGAAATGGTGAGGCGATTTTCGATTTCCCCGTACACGAAACGGTATAAACCTACGATTTCCTCTTCTTGCATTCCTTCTACTTCTTCTTCTTCTTCTTTCTTTCCATTAGAATTATCGTATCGTCAGAGACGATATCGGCGAGAAGACACGATAATCCACTGTTTCTACTGTTATTGATCGGTATCGTTAGAGGATTAATTTACCCTATACGGTAACCGAATCGATAATGCTGATGTAAAGTAAGCCGTACACGCGAGAAATCGGAACGGATGTAGTTTGAGCCGGCTAAATCTAAAGTTCATCGAAATCATCTCTATCTCCATCCCTATTGCGTTTCAATGCCGCTCGACCAAACCAAAATCGCCCGCATCTACCGGTTACCCGCTTAAGAACCGGTCTTAAATTGCCTGATTAGCTTTCGCTGTACACCGTCTCTACAGCGGTCGATACGGATTGCCGTTTAATCAATTGGTCGATGGAAATGATACGATTTATCAGCCTAACGCGTTCGATCGAAGAGCGAGCGAAAAATGTGGCACGGATGTGAATAACACCTGGAAAGAGAGAAAGAGAGAGAGAAAGGAAGGAAGGAAGGAAGGAAGGAAGGATTTGCTCGTTCCATCCGAGGCGAAACTTGGTCGAAAAGTAGGAAAGCTTGGAGGACAAAGCGTTGGAACGGCCGTTGGAAGCTGACTCGTTACTCCTTTCTCGAACTCGAACGACAGCGTGGAAAGGATGGTTGGATCGGGACCATTCGTGTCGGCGATTGATTCGCGCGATATTTCATGGAAAACTTTCCACCGATCAACGGCGAAAAATGAAGAAAGTTTTCTTCCTAACTGCGCCCACGTGCGCGAATATACCTCCGATTCCTACGGCGATCCCTAAGGTCCTTCGTCGAGTCGTCGCGCTTTCAAAATCATTCTCGAAACGAAAACACGTTTCAATCTTGGAAAATTCGATTCGAAAGAGAGATCATTGTAAAGAAAATTGTAAAGTTGCTCGATATTTTCGATTTTATTTTAAAATTCGACGATTAGTTAACATCGGCCGACATTCGTCATCGTTGAGTTTACACGATTCCCGTCTACTCGGAAATTCCATTAACCAGGCCGCAATTAGCCGTGACAACAATTGACACTGATTGTATTAGGCTCGTGTCGCTAATAATTGAAACTGTATCTGGTTGACACCGTGTTCCGCGGATCGGCGGGGGGAGGCGAAGGGGAAGCGAGGCACGGTTATTCCGTTACATCCGAGTTTTGCTTACTCAACAGAATTGGAAAATGTATTGTCTCGATCAAATGGACGCGTGAAATGATAAAACAACATCCCTCGTACGACAGATTAATCACATTTGCGTGTTTACGCGCCTCGTATCTCTGTTTACGACACGCCGACAATTTTCATTTCAACTTATTTCGAGCAGAAAAGATTTGTCGTTTTTTTCGGATTTCATTGATCGATTGAAAAAGCGTAAAAAGATTGATAGAAGAGAAAAGAGAGGGGAGGGGGGAAAGAAAGAAGGAGCAAGGAGAAGATAAAAGGATAATTTACGATGTCGGACAAAGTACCGATTCGGCCAAAGTACAAACCAAGAATGGGCAAACTTGCGAGAAACTTGCCGCGACGACGAGTTCGACCCGTTTATTAAGCCTCGCCTCGGATTCTCACCGAGAAGAAATTTTACACGGCAACGGGGGATGGCAGTTAGC